ATCGCCGCGGACTCGAGGACCGAGAGGCCGAAGGTCCGCACCGTCGAGGCTACCACGAGCTGGGCGTTCTGCGCCCGCTCGACAGCGGCCTGCGCCGCCGCTGGCCGCCGGCGCGGCCCCATGGGGCCGGGAAAGGTGCACGTGGTATGGAGTAGTGAAAAAACCGTGATCGCCTCGAGACGGATGGTCTGCAGGATTGGGTTCAGATGGTACCCAACGCACAACTATCTTACATCCCGTGGTCAACGACAGAGCAGCCATCTTCTGAAGTACATGCCGAAGATATCGAGAGTTCGCCCGCCCTTTGGTGGCCGCTAGGGCCAGTGGCAAGTTATCCACTACAAACAGGATCTTCTTCCCAAGAGTCCCAGTGTTTCTGAGCGTGTGCCGAATAGCCATACGGGGCGCCTCCCCTTCCAGCTCTAGGACGTTGGTGGACCCCGCAACCTTCGAAGCGTGAATAACCTTCCATGTGTCAGACTTCAAGAGGCCTAAGGGGACCTCGTCGAAAGCCACGGGGTTGTCGACCAGCAGGTTCTCGAGGGCCTTGTCGGGGTCACCAGTGGAGTCCACAGCCGTCTGATGAAGAGCATGCTCGCGGGCCCGCTGGGCCCCCTCAACTCGGAAGCGCCACCTCTCGCTGCATCGGCCGATCGATGATGCCAGCGAAGTGGGAGCTTTTCGGACAGTGACGCCGAGACCGAACAGAGACGCATCAGAGGCGGCCACCTCTGGCCACCACCCTGCGCTGACGTCAACGCTGAGCAGCGGTAAGATACAGCGTGCTCGCCAGAGCTCGCGTCGCACCGATCTCCAAAGACGCGCTTGCCGAGACCCGACCCGCTCGGCAAACTGGTAGCTGGCGTTGAGCAAAGAGAGGACTTCTCGCCGTATCAACCCCGCCCACGTGAAGTGTCCAACGATGACCCTGAGGGCGTCGCCAGAACAAAAACCTCTTCTGAGCAAAGCGTCCAAACCGAAACGAAGTCTCGAAATGCTCCTGGCCTTGATCGAAAGATATCGCCCTCTCTTCAGCTCTAGCCCTACGAAGGTGGCGTCCCGTGCGGCAGGCTCCTCATCGTGAGTGAGAAGCCCTTTCTCCGTCAGCACTCGCATGATGGCAAGGGCGGCCTGGTCGACGAGGGCCGGGGGGCGTCCCAGGGCGGCGTAGTTGTCGACGTAGCCGGCGACCGCCAAGGCGCCCTCCCGGTCGACCACGACCCCCGCCTTCCCGTCCTCGATGCACTGGTCCACGGTGAACCCCGCGGCGTCCATGGCGCGTCGCAGCACGCCCTGACAGAGGGCCAGCGCATGGCTCCAGCCCATCGGCAGGAAGCACGCGCAGGGCTGCACTCGCGCCCCTCGCGCGAGCGGGACCCCGTCCAGGTGCGTGATCCCGAGCAGGCTGGCATCCAGGGCGGGTAGTCTGAAGTACGAGGACAGCCCGTCAGGCAGTCGTAGTCTATAGAAGGCATTGTCGATATCACCTGAGGCCATGTAGGCGTCGTGCCCAGGGTTCTCGAAGGCAGCGAGGGCCGTCGCAGTCAGCAAAGCCGTCCGAGCCGGTCGACCGAACAATAAGTTGGCATACCTCGTATCAAATATCACTCTCAGCTTCTTGTTCTTCTTCGCAACGAAGAAGCAGCCGACGGTGGCCGCGTCGCAGTCCCCCTTCAGCTCCACCATGCCGCGAGCCAGCAACTTGGCGACAAAATCGGCGTAGAGCAGAGGCTTACTGAAGAGACTGGGGTCGAAAAAAGGTCCGTGAGGGCAGAACTCAGCACGTTCAGCAGCGGTAGGTCTATCTGGCCTGAGCAGGGTGCTCTGCCAGCGGCACAGCCACTCAGATTCGGCCTCACCATGGCAGGCGGCCAGTGGGACTGGCTGCAGGTCGGGCGAGGGCCAGGAAATGGACTCCTTGACATACGGCCGTCGGGAGGAGAGATCACCCGTCTGGTAGATCCCCGTCCCAGCGAGGAGCTCACGTAGGGCTCCCTCGCGAAAACCTGCCTCAGGTGGGGGCTTGCCAAGTGCACGTGCTCGAGACTCGACGTGATCCACTGCGTGCCGCTGTCCGGCATTGGCGGGGACCGTCGGCCGGTCCTGGTGGCCGTGCAAGTCGTTCAGGGCGTCGATACACTCGTCGCCCCAGTCGAGAATGTCTTTGGTAGCCGCACCACGCCGCCGAGTGACCCGTGACAGATCATGGCGGCCCGCCGCGCCGGCATGGTCTCGGTGCAGAGGGGGCAGTGGGAAAATATCACGTTGGCGACCACTATGTCCCAGCGTGTCAAAAACCTCTCTGTTGATCGGACCGGTAAAGGCAACCCGGTCCACAGGCGTCTCAGTCAGGGAGTCGCGCTGGCCGCCTGAACCAGGCGCGACCGAGGGGAACATCACCCCTCCTCCTCCCTCTTGTCCTTCTTCTTGTTGCCCTTCATCGCAAGCTCCCTCTCCTCTCGCGCCCTGCGGCGCCCCTTCAGCGGCACCTGCTCCTTGGCCAGCTGGGAGCTGACCCACTCCTGGGGGAGCGGGCGCACGCGCACTCCTCCCCTCGTGAGCTCGCTGCCCATGAAGAGATGCGCGTCCACGCTGTCGGGGCCGCCGCTGGCCGAGCCGCCTGCCCTCCTGTCCCGGTAGCGCTCCTGCAGCATCAGGAAGGCGCGAGTGAGCAGCTCCGCGGCCGCCAGGTTCGCCCCGTTGCACTGGTCGAAGCAGAGCAGCTTCCCCAGCGCTCCGCAAGCGCGGTCGTGCTCCTGCACTCCAGGTTCGTGCTCCTGGAGACGAGCCTCGCTGCGCCACCGAGCGTGCATCCCAGTTGGGGCCCCGCCGTGGTCGACGATGTACCGGAGGTCCCAGTGCGTGGTGCGGGGGCCGCGCACAGGCCACCCTTCCCACTGGTCCTCCCGACACGTTAGCACCGCGTCGCGGAACTCCCGCCGCCTGATGCCCACCATGTCGTAGACCACCGGGAGCGTCCAAGCGTCCTGGACGTGGTCGCCTGCGGGCACCGCAGCGATGGGAGCGCCCTCAAAGGCCGCGGGAGGAGGAGCAGCGGCTGCAGCCGCGCCCGCCGCGGCAGGCCAGGGCGCGCCGACGGCTGCACCTAGGGGCGCCGCGTCGGCCCCTGGGGCCGCGGCGGCTGCGGCGCCGGCTGAGGCAGGAGCCGCCGGCGGAAGTGGAGCGGGGACAAGAACTCCTGCAGGTACCCCCGCTGCTGGTCCGCCGAGCGCTGCCACGAGGCCGCCGAGCCCGGCCGCTGGGGCCACGCCTCCGAGAGCGGCGGCGGCGGCTGCCGCCAGCGGCCCTGACACAGCACCGGGCGGGGCGAAGACGCCTCTGGCCACGGGCGCGCGTGGCGTGGCACCTCCCGCTGGCAGCTCGGCGATGCGCCCACCGAGGGCCGGCGCGACGGGCCCCACAGGTGCGGGCTGGCCAAGCCTGGCGGCCGCGGCCGTGGTCGACGCCTTTAGGCTCGCGGCCGTCGGCATCGCACCAGCCCGGAAGCGGTAGTGCCGGGTCCCGGGCCGACCCAGCAGGTCGCCTCCCTGCTGCCGGTTCGGCAGCGGCTCCCACTCGACGATGTCCGGCGTGCTCCCCACTTCTTCATATTCGTCACCATCGGGGGTGGTGACTGGGACGGCCAGCCCAGCTTGAGGCGACAGGTAGGTGACTAGCCGCTCGTGGTACAGATATGGGCCCCCGACGTTGTACCCCACCACACAGAAGTCGTCCACCTGCAGGTCGTGCGAGACCGTGAGCGGGTGGCCACCAGCGACAGCAGGCTGTATCATAGTGCCAACGCCCTCGACCGATACTGTGCCACCTGAGCCCGGGCGGTCGCGTCCAGGTCCTCGGGGTTCAGCTCGGTCCTGGCCCTCACGCTTGTCAAGCAGGCCAGCGGAGAACGCCACGAAGGCCACGCAGGCACACGTGAGGGCCAGCGAGAAAGGGGTCAGCGGCGAGGTGTAGGCCACGTCGCCGGTCGAGCAGGTCAAAGGTGGGCAGTTCAGCACTGGTGAGCACTCGCACTGCGGGCAATTGGGCCGTCCAGCCCACACGACAAAGCCCGTCGAGACCCCCTCAGCGAATCGCCCGGCAATATGGCGGAGGGCACTTTGCATGGAAGGAATGGGGGAGGCCTGACTCAGAGCTTGAGCACAAGTGGCAGTGGCCATACGGCGACGCTCCCTACAGTGCCTGCTTCACGTACTGAATACACCCACCATCATCATCATCATCATCATCATCATCATCATCATCATCATCATCATCATCATCATCATCATCATCATCATCATCATCATCATCATCATCATCATCATCATCATCATCATCATCCGCGGCGGCTCTTCTGCTTTTTGTGCACGAATTGCTGGTCCCCGGCCCATGCTAGCCCGAACGCGGCCTGACCCACATCGCTGCGACCAAAAGTGTCACCCTTTCGGCAGAAGACACTTAACACCCTGACATGAAGGGCACTGGATAGCTTTACACGGTTACGATGGTGACCACGATGGGGGTCAGGATGGGGGTATCGGGGTAAGGATAGAGATCAGGACATCGGGGACAAAGGATGGAGGGAGACGGCTAGGGATGCAAACATGAATATAGGAACAGGTAAAACATAATATGGATAGAGGAGCAGGGACATATGTATATATATATATACACATACGAATACAGAATGAATGACTGCGGGAGACAATGGCAGACAACGTCGTCCGCCCGATCCCAGATCCGAAAATTCTATCTGCAAGTCGCCTACCAATTTCTTATAACACATGTACATGTGCACATTCATGTATATCAGGTATATCGTGTACGTACAAGTATAATTATACACAAATGTATGTGTATATATATACACTTATACATAGAGAGAGAACCCTAGCAGAGAAGCTGTTCACGGACAAGCTTATGCGACTGCTTCATCGAAGGCGCCCCCGGGAATTCGGCACCCACGCCCGCGGCGCAGCAAAGAGCCGAGGCGGGCGCGCCCTCGTCGCGGTAGGTGCGCAGCTTCTTCAGGGGGATGATGCGGTTGAGCTCCTCGGCGGGGTTCGCTCGAACCATGGCCGCGCTCAGCAAGCCTCCGCACGCCTTCCGCCACGTGGCCGGTCTCAGGAACCCCGAATCCCACAATTTACCGAATTACAACACACTGACGGCAGCAGAAGTGAAAAAGGCGGGTCGAGGAGCAGGTCGGCTCTATATCAGGGACAAGCGTGGGAGCACGGCCACGTAGCCGGGCATCGAGGCTGGAATGCAATTCTTGAACAATGACTTGTGAGGACGTCTCAAACGAAACGGCTGGCAGACCGGGCGCTCGCTGGAGGCAACCCTCGGCTCCGCGTCCCCCGGGTGGGACTATCTTGTGGTACATGTCTATCCCTCTGTCAGAACCTTGAGGCGAAAAACTGGCATGGAGAATAACTGCATCCCTTGCAGAGGTTGCTCCGTTTCCACAGTGGCCTTCTCCAAACTCACAAAGAAGAAAACACGCCATGAACATAAACTTTTGGCGCTCCGAGCGGATTTCTTGAATCTGCGCTGGGCCCCCCTCCCTGGCGCGCGGAGCGCGTCAGGGGTGGCGCCGGAGGCACCGCCAGGGGGGATGGGGCCAGCGCGAATCCAAGACATCCGAGCGGAGCGCCAAAGGCTTTATGTTCATGCCGTTGTTTTTCCTTCTTCGAGGCCTTCCGCTGGTTTCCGCCGGCGGAGCCGCCCTCGCTGTGCCTCCCCCGCCGTCTCCTCTGCCTTCCGCCGGCCCTCCGCCGGGGAAGAGAGGGCGTCAGCCTCTCTCGGCCCCTCGACGGCGCAGCACTCCCTCCAGGAGCGCCCCAACGCGGCGGCACTACTCGGCGGCGCGCAAGGGGGGGGGGGGGGAAGTGAGAGGGAGAGGGGCCTCTTCACGAGGCCGCGGGACTTCTCACAATCAAGCCCTCGCGCCTCCTGGCAAGGTTCCCGTGCCTCCAGAGAAGGCTCAAGAAACTTCTCAGAAGGCCGGGGGGGCTTCCGAGCCTTCTGAGAAGACCCGCCCCTTTTCACTTCCCCCCGGGCTCGCCGCCGATCATGTTGCATCTATAGGAGGCCTTGTCTGTCCCGTCGCGCCTCTATCTGCGTCGAATCCGTGTCGAATCCATGTCGGACTCGTCGAGTCCGCGTAGAAGACAACGCATCGAGTTCGCGTCGAGTCCACGCCAGATCCGCGTCGACTCTGCATCGAGCCCGCGTCGGGCACAAGAAAAGGCACCAATTTGGGGGACAGACGAGGCCCCTCGAAGATGCAACGTACATCACGGCCCCGCGTGCCAATCCTCCTCCTTCTTCGGGATCGGCCGCAACTCGTTCGCCGCGGGCGCTGGCCGGCAGGTGAGCTCAGTTGCAGAGGGCAAACGATGTTGCACAGTGTCTTCACGCTAGTAACTCTGCCGGCTGGCTCCGCGGGGCCCAACAGTCCGCCATCAGGCGGGGTCTGTTGGAGCACCCACTGGCTGCCAACGGGTATCGTGACCCTTCCCCAGCGAGGCAGCAGCCGCGCTCAGGTCCGGCGCCGCCTGCGCTTCGCACGCTACGGTGACCGGACAATGAGTGCCCACACCCATGGCGGTAAGGCGACGCAACATGATGACAACCACAACTGCGAAATGCCCTTGCTTCGCACCTCTCCGCTCCAAACCCAAAATTGAAAGTCCACATTTTGTCCCTGGCCTTTGGCCTGCCGTCCAAACCCGTCAACTTTGAATTTTGGGGAAGGGCGGTATACATTTTGGCCCGACGCGCTTTGATGAATCAAGGTCTTGACGAGACAAGTGTGGACACTTTTAGTCCACCCACCGTAGCGCCACTTCCACCACCGCGCAATCTCATCTTCAAAACAGTAGACACGTACGGTGAAACATCCTGCTACAAGATCTCTTGGGGCACATTCTTCTTCGACGCTGGAAGGCCCCAAGGTTCACCAGAGCTTCAGGGAATCTGTAATTTCTGTGGGGCACCTGCTCGCAGGCCAATTTCTTACTTGATGTGCCTACTGTAGACGCGACCGTCGTGGTACTAGGGGAACCGAAGGGTACCCATACCGCTACTCGTCGGACCTCTCCTAGGGTGCGTTCTTACCAGAAATTGGAGGCGAACCCAACGGTGGCGACGAGGGCCTCCGAGGAGGTCCAGAAAGGCGAAAACGAGAGGACCCTTTTCCTCTTCTGACGTCCGTCGTGGTGTCCCACCGTTCCCTCGAAATCCCCATCGGTGGCAAGTCATGGCCTCCCATGCCATCTTGTCGGGACTTGCGAATCGACGCGAGTAGACGCTAAACCGACGCTAATCGATGTTAAGTCGGCGCGCATCGACGCTAACCGTCACTACTTCGGCGCTACCTCATCGACTCCCAGACCCTAAGCGACGCCAGTCGGCACTAAAGACGGATTGAAGAAGGTATACCAACCTCCCACAATTTGCTACCGACAGTTGGGGCGGCTGGTCTCCTCGTCCGGCTTGGTGAGAATCTCGTGGCCCTTCAGGCCGTAATCCTTCTTCTCCACCGCCCTGTACTTGAAGCGGGTTGGCAAGTCACCGCCAATGATGTCCTCGGCTACACGCAGGAGTGACCCTGAGTAAGAGTGACCTTTGATGCTCGGCTTTTGGGGGGTCGCGGGGGGACCAAGCACAAGAGCGCAAGACGCTACGGTCACATCGAGCTCGGCGATCGAGGGGCCCACCTGTGCCCGCACCAAAGAGCACCCCGGCGAAGGGTCACTCTTACGTGTAGCCGATGTCCTCGTAATCCAGCTGGAAATACTCGTCCAATGCATCCTTGGTCTCCTCCCGGTTCGGTTCCTGCCCCTTGAGTTCCTCCGGCGCGCGATTGAGCAGTTGGCAACCAGGCTGTCAGAATGAATTGCTGCATGGCGCAAGCAATCGCCAGAACATTTCATGTAACGAACCTTCCACCGCGTACGCGTCACAGCTTAGGCTGGCGAGAGCGCCTAGGAAGGGTAAGCGAGACCTCAGCATAACGAGAATCGGCATCATGCCTGATGGGGCGACAAGCATTAACACTGCTTTTTGTGCCCCCTCTCCTCCGCACACGTGGATGGACCCTACGCCTTAACAGTTAGGTTAGGGGGGGGGGCGGGAGAGGAATCCCCGAACGGCCGCGGGCGCCACGAGGCTGCCCAAGGCTGCCCGAGATGCTCTCGCGAGGGCCCGGGGACGGCCCCAAACTGTCCAAGATGCTTCCAGGACTGCCCAGGAGGTCCTCCTCCTCATCCTCCTCCTCGTCCTCCTCGTCCTCCTCGTCCTCCTCCTCCTCCTCCTCCTCCTCCTCCTCCTCCTCCTCCCTCTGCCGCACATCATCCCGTGCTGTAGTCATCACTGGATCAAGAGCGGGCTGGCCTCCTTTCGCAACAGCGTTGACGCGCAACCCAGCCCTTGTGAGGCCCTTCGACCCCCTAAGAGGGCTTCATGAGGCCAGAGTAGCGCTCGATGCCGAAACCTTCGCGCTTTCGAGCTTCAGGACCGCAAGACGACCCAAGAGGCCGCCAAGCGCCAAGACCGCACCGAGACTGCCCGAGAGGCTCCGAAGACGGCCCCAGCAGGGGCCCCCCAAGACGGTCCAAGAAGGGCCCAAGATGGCCGAAGATGTCCCCGATACGGCCCCTATGACGGCCCACCCTGCTCTCAAGACAGCCCCAGAAGGCCCACAAGGCACCCCAGGAGGGCCCCAGGAGGACCCCCGAGAGGGCCTCAGGAGTCAAGGGTATCCAGGTTCCTCGGAAGACACAAGCGTGCGCGGCGGCAAACTTCGACCCACGCAACTCCGTGGATTGAACCCACGAGTCCTCGACAATGTTGATACACACAAATATATAGATATACGTAGATACGCGCAGCACCTCGCAATTGCGGATAAGAATGCTGGAGCATCGGGGTCATCGGCGGCCTTGGAGGCTCTAAAGAAGCCCGCCACAGGCGCCGATGTTCCAACACATTGCGCAACGAAACGAACCCGCCGCAAGCGCCGAATTTCGTCACAACAATATGAATGGGTCGCGGGAGGGTCGCGGGTGGGTCGCGAGGTGGGTCGCGGGGTGGGTCGCGGGCGGGTCGCGGGCGATGAGGATGACAACGACAACGCAACAACAACACCGCAACAACAATCTTCATCGCGGAATTCCACTTCAGCCACGCGCCCAGGGACAATGAATGCCCGCTCGCACATGAACGAGAACCGCGGGAAAACGACGATCTTTGCAAGAACGTGCATTATCCGTCTCCAGACCCTCAACCTCCCGACTGGCGTTCCCCTATGTAAGGTCGAGATTACTTTCGGCACGAGCTCAGACGAGGCGCACCTCCCGCTGGCACATCTCGGCATTATCCGTCTCCAGACCCCCTACCTCCCCACTCGCGAACCCCATGCCAGGTGGAACTTACTTTCCGCGCGAATCCAGACGAGGCGCACCCCCCACTGGCGCATCTCGGCATTATCCGTCTCCAAACCCCCGACTCGCGTTCCCGCATGCCCGGTCGAGTTTATTTTCCGCAGGAGTTCAGACGAAGTGTTCCCCCACGTCAGGTGGAGTTTACTTTCCGCAGACGGCCCAAGAGGTGCCCAAGAGGCCTCCCAGACGGCCCAAGAGGCCTCCGAGAGGTCCTCCAGGAGGGCCCGAAGAGACCAAAATCATTACTTGTCCCTAGGGTTTTTACGCATTTTTCGTACTTGCTCCTTTTCGGCATTCCGACGACCCAAAACGGCCCAAGAGGCCCCCACGACCGCCCCCACAGCGCCCAAGAGGCCTCCAAGATGGCCTCAGGACTGCCCAGGAGGCCCCCAAGACGGCCCCAAGAGGCCTCCACGACGCCCAAGATGGCCTCTACGACGGCCCTGGAGCACCCCAAGAGGGCCTCAAGTCGGCCCAGAGAGGCCCCCCAAACGGCTTCCGACGGCGTCAGACGGGCCAGGAGCCCACCAAGATGACCGAAGTTGGCTCGAAGCTGGCCCAAGACGGCCCAGAGGCGTCCACGAGGGCCTCCAGGAAGGCCAGAAAAGGTAAACAACATTGAGTTTCCTTTGGGTTTTTGATGGATGTTGGCGTTTGCTTCTTTTCGGCCTTCCGACGGCCCGAGACGGCCCAAGAGCCCCCAAAGATGGCCCAAGAGGCCTCCAAGATGGCCCCAGAACAGCCCAAGAGGCCATCAAGACGGCCCCAAGAGGCCCCGAAGACGGCCCAGGAAGCTTTGAAGACGCCCAAGATGGCCTCCAAGACGGCCCCGGAGCATTCCAAGAGGGTCCCAAGTCGGCCCAAAGGGGCCCCCCAAACGGCTTCCGACGGCGTCGAACGGGCCAGGAGCCCACCAAAACTATAGAAGATGGCCCTAAGATGGCCCAAGACGGCCCAAGAGGCTCCCAAGAGGGCATCCAAGAAGGGCCGAAAAGGCCCAAATCAGTGATTTCCGATCAGTTTTTGGAGGATTGTGGCATTTGCTTTTTGTTCGACCTTCCGACGGCCCGAGACGGCCCAAGTGCCCCCAAAGATCGCCCAAGAGGCCCAAGACGGCCCCAAGAGGCCCCCAAGACGGCCTAAGAGACCCTCAAGACGCTCAAGACGGCCTCCAAGACGGCCCAAGAGCCCTCCAAGACGGCCTCCAAGCAGGCCCGAAAGGGTCAAAAGGGCATCCACACGGTCAAGATGACCTTCAAGATGCCCACGTGTTCGCCGAAGGCTTTCCAAACCGATTCGGGGAACACATGGTCCGATAGCTTGGCAGGTCTGACCTCAATAATCGGCCACATAGGCGCTTCCAAAAGGGCAGGGGGCGGCGGTGATTCGCCGTAAGCGTCTTCGATCCACCGCCCCCTGTTGGCTTGCCACAGGGGTGCCCGGCGTGCTAAATCCTTTCGAATTTAAGGTTTCGGCCGATCCCGCCAGGGTCCAGGAAAGGCCCTGAAACCACCTCAACGACCTCAAACAATTCTCCAAGACGGCTCAAGATGGCCTCTAAGATGGTCACGTTGGCCCAGGATGGCGTCCAAGATGGCCCAAGATGGCCTCCAAGTTGCCAAAGATGGTCCAAGATGGCTTCCAAGACGGCCCGAGAGAGTCCAAGACGGCCCAAGATGGCTCCAAGACGGCCTAAGACTGGCCAAGAGGCCCCCAAGAGGCCTCCAAGACGTCCTCCAAACAGGCCCGAAAGGGCAAAATCATGTTATTTTCATTCGGTGTTTGAATGATTGGGGCATTTTCTTCTTATCAGCTCTCCGACGGCCCAAGACGGCCCAAGAGGCCCCCCAACATCGTCCCACGAGCGCCCAAGAGGCCTCCAAGATGGCCCCATGACAGCGCAAGAAGCCCCCAAGAGGGCCCCAAGAAGAGCCCAAGACGGCCCAAGATGGCCCCGAAGACGCCGAAGATGGCCTCCAAGACGGCCAAGATGGCCTCCGAGTGGCCTCCAAGACGGCCAAGAAGGCCTCCAAGACAGCGAAGATGACCCCAAGATGCACCCAAGACGGCCCCAGATGGCCTCAAGATGGCCTTAGACTGTCCAAAGGCCCGCAAGAGGCATCCAAGACGGCCCAAGAGCCCTCCAAGACGTCCTCCAGGAAGGCCCGAAAGGGTCAAAATGGCCTCCAGACGGCCAATATGACCTTCAGGGAACAAATGCCGATGACACAATCAACATCAAGCGAGCCAATTTCGGACGAAAAGCTGTGATCTTCGTAAAATAATTCGAAAGACAATTAAGGACCTCAAAGTCCACGAAAGATCCCTCCAAGACGGCCAAAGATAGATTCCAAGACTGTCTCAAGACGCCTCCAAGACGGCCAATATGGCCCAATATGGCCTCCAAGATGGCCAAGGTGGCAGTAAGAGAGCCGAAGATCACTCCAATTTGGCCTCCATAACGGTCCAAACGAAAATGCATCCAAGACCGCCAAGATGCACCTATTGAGCCCCAGAGTGCCTCAAGAGGTTCCCAAGAGGACTCTTCCTCCCCTCCCCTTTTTCCTCGCTCTCCTCCTCTTCCCCAACCTCATCCACGTGTTCCCCGAAAGCTTTCCAAACCGATTCGGGAAACACTCGCTCCGAAAGATTGGCAAGGATCTGACCCAACCTTCGGCAATCAGGCCCCAAGGCGCCTCCAAAAGCTCACAAGAGCCCCCGAACACGCCAGTCCTCACTCTCCTCCTCTTCCCCGTCCTCCCCCACGTGTTCCCCAAAGGCTTTCCAAACCGATTCCTTGAACACATGGTCCGATAGCTTGGCAGGGCTCTGGCCTCAACGTTCGGCCACATAGGCGTTTCCGAAAGGGCAGGGGGCGGCGGCGACTCGCCGTAGGCGTTTTCGATACATATAAATATATCTGTATATTAAACGTATATGTGCATACGTATATACCTGTACACCTGTATGTATACACGTCCCCCCTGCTGCTAACCCTCCGCAATTACCTCTTGTGCCGTTTTAGTATGCGTTATGTTGTGTCACATTTACGTTGAACGCATGTTACCTTACACCGTCATCCACCCTTCTCCCCACCCTGGCCTAGCAAATGCACGAAGTATGCAACAATCCACGATTTCCAACATGATGGACCCACGAACCCGGAAAGGGATATAGACATGTGGAGCATGGGCACGTTTTCACGATACCCAACGGGGCAACACCTCACGAAACATCCCACGAGACACCTCACGAAACATCCCACGAGACACCTCACGAAACATTCCGCGAGACACCTCACGAAACATTCCACGAGACACCCCGCGAAACATTCCACGAGACACCCCACGAAACATTCCACGACGACAGGCAACCACTCAACCAAGGCGGTGTCGGTCGTGCTGGGGTGTGGTCGTGCTGGGGGGTGGTCGTGCTGGGGGTGGTCGTGCTGGGGGGGTGGTCGTGCTGGGGGGTGGTTGTGCTGGGGCGTGGTCGTGCTGGGGCGTGGTCGTGCTGGGGCGTGTGGTCGTGCTGTGGTGAGGTCGTGCTGGGGTGTGGTCGTGCTGGGGTGTGGTCTTGCTGGGTGGGTCGTGCTGGGGTGGGGTCGTGCTGGGGTGTGGGGCGTGCTGGGGTGTCGTGCTCGTGGTCGTGCTGGGGTGTGGTCGTGCTGGGTGTCGTGCTGGGGTGTGGTCGTGCTGGGGTGTGGTCGTGCTGGGGTGGGGTGCTGGGGTGGGGTCGTGCTGGGGTGTGGTCGTGCTGGGGTGTGGTCGTGCTGGGGTGTGGTCGTGCTGGGGCGTGGTCGTGCTGGGGTGGGGTCGTGCTGGGGTGGGGTCGTGCTGGGGTGTGGTCGTGCTGGGGTGGTCCGCACCCTGTGATTCATCGATCGGGTCGTGCTGGGGTGTGGTCGTGGTGGGGTGTGATCGTGGTGGGGTGTGGTCGTGTTGGGGTGTGGTCGTGCTGGGGTGTGGTCGTGCTGGGGTGTGGTCGTGCTGGGGTGTGGTCGTGCTGGGCGTGGTCGTGCTGGGGTGTGGTCGTGCTGGGGTGTGGTCGTGCTGAGGTGTCCCGCACCCTGTGATTTATCGATCGGGATTTCAAAAACAAGCGTTTCGCCTGAGACATCCTCAAATTTTAATCCGCCGGCCTCCTTCGACCTCGATATTTATCAGGGAAAAAATCCGCCGGCCTCCTTCAAGTTGGCACCGGGGGATTAGGTTTACCTACTAAAAGAGAACCCTGGGCCGGCGCCCTTTCCGGGAAAAACAAGGGAACGTTGGTGCCTATGCATGCTTCAGCAGAATGCATCTCGCTCAACACAGCCTCCAGTGAGCTTCGCCCGTCAGGCGTGACGAACGTCGCATTATTGACATATGTCAAACACCATTGCGGTCCAGCAGGCAAAATGCTCGCAACGCGGCCATTGCGCTGTGAGGGAGCGAACTCGATCAAAACATGAACACTGAACATGCAAGATGGTGTCGAGTTCCGAGGGCCGTGCAACAGACAAGGACATCGCCTCCGGCGGAACGCAATGCTCAGGGATCTTCTTGCGCACGAACTTGTGCGGATGACGCCGAACACGGAAACACTGGCAAGATCACGATCCACTTCTTTACAAACACATCATACCGAACATGACCTGCAAGTTCCGCAATCATCTTCCATCTAGTGAACTCTCTAACAGACTCAGAAATCGGCGCGGCACGACAAATTGAGAATCGGATGGCTCGCATCTCCGTGCGCATAATTATTCAGTCGTGGTGCCAATCATGCGTAAAACTGTGAACATGAACATTTGCAAGGGACGTCTGAGTGCATGCTCGAGTCAGGAAGCCGAGCTGTCCCAGGTCTGACGCTGTCACCGACTGGAGAAAGGATGCCCTGAGACCACAAGAGGCGGTGGATATATGGCTATCTTATCGGGCCCGAAGGGGCCCGAACATATCCATACCCACCTTCCCCAGAAAACCAGGAAAATTGGCTTCCCAGGCGGTGGATACTCTGGACAAGTCCCGGCCTCGGAGCGGCCTCTCCCCGCGATCCGCTCCACAACTAATTAGGAGGAGAACGACCTCATGATACGACCGGCTCAAGATCTGTTCCAGGAGTTCTGGACTATCTAACGGCCCTCGTTTCTGCAGCCCTTGTGGAACATTAGTCTGGAACATCTAGGACAACTCCCCAGACATCTGGCGCTCCAACCTTTTCGCTGCGTGGACCCTGGGAGGTCTGGACTACTTCCGTAAGGCCAGTGTTTCATCCCAAATCGTTTTTATTATAGTCCCAAGCCGCGCTGAGGGCCCCCATGAGGCCGAAAACGGCCAAAAACCAGCTGCTGCATTTTTTCCCGCGGATCTTCGGGTCGGCAATCCTGTCCCCCAACCTGTTCAGAGCGTACCCCAATCTATTCAGAGCGTGGAGGCATCACACTCTGGACCCACAAACCTATCTGGACTGCTTAAAGGTTCGACTGGAATTTCGACGTCAAGGTCCTCGTGTTAACTTCTTGCCCTCCTGGAGCGTCAGGGGAACTGAAGGGGCCCCAGGACACAAATAAATACACACAAACAAACAGATCCCCCATATTTACCCACATTTTCTGGGTTTTTGTCTTCCCCCCCACTTCCCATATTTTCCCATATTTTCCGGGGGATCGACGATTAATTGTGTCGGTGTGTGTTTCTTCCCCCTCCTGATTAAAGGTTCGACTGGAATTTCGACGTCAAGGTCCTCGTGTTAACCTCTTGCCCTCCTGGAGCGTCAGGGAACAAACGACCCTCGCGCGACACGCCGCGCGACGCGCCCCGCGCCTGGCGCGGGCGACTCGCCCCCCCCCCCCCCCCCCACGAGCACCGCCCCGCGGACCCCGCCCGGCGACGGGCCTGCGAGCGCGGTTGGCGATGCGCCCGCGACCCGCGCCACCCTCGACCTTGCCTGATGTTGCATTCGACTACCTACCAGACCACCCCAACCCAACCCGAAGACTCGAATGTCGGGTTGGGGGGGGGTAAGGGTTCCACGCGTGCTTTTTCGATGTTTCCCGACCCCCTCCCCCCCACTAGAAATCGAGGGTAAATCTGAGCCTTCGGGTTGGGTTGGGGTGGTTTGGTGGGTGGTGAGCATTGGATGCAGAAGGGCGGACTACATGCGCATGCCTTTTGTGCGTGCTGAATCAGTGCCGCCGTGTTTGTCTGCTTGTCACGGACGCGCCATGGGCCACATACTCAGAATATGTTTCCAAAGCGGGAGAAAATGCGCGCGCGAACCTCCGCCGCCGGGGCTCGCCGCTGTTCGCTCGAGCCCTCGAGGCCTCGATCACAAGTTCAACCGCCCCCTTCCACCCCGCCCGCCCTGCGTTGGTGCCCCGAGATAAAGCGCGACGCCCCCGTTTGGGGCAATGACGCCGATGCAATGCTCAAGTTCGCGTGCGCTCCCCTGGCCCTTGCCCCCCTCGCCCTGAGCTTGTATAAGCTGATAACCCCGAACGGGGTGGCGTGCCGGCGCCGATGCGAAGCGAGGTCCGGCGGATTGCGCCAGCGCCTGGACCCTATTGCCTGACGTGCCAGAGGCGCCTGCGCTTCCACGGGCGGCGCTTGCGCTAATAAGAACCAGCGTCCACGGCGCCTGCGCTAACGAAGAGACAGCAGGACACGCTTGCGCCCTATCATTTGACACGCCTTAAGGTGCCTTCGCTTGGCAGCACGCAGCGCCCATGCGGATAAGTCGACTGCCCCCGCGGCGCCTGCGCTGACAAGTCGATGGCGAACGACGCACCGTTGTTTGACGCGCCTGCGGTGCCCGCACCGAATCACACGCAGCGCCTGCGCGGATCTGGGCATCGCTCGGACGTCCATTCCCTGTGCTTTTTTCGGTTTCGTGCGTGGTTTTTTCGCCAAATGATCAAGGATGCTCCTCGATGGTCCTCGCCGAAGGAAAATTGCACACGCCCGAGCGATGCCAAGGGATAAGGCGAGAAACGCCCGTGGTGCGCGCGATAACGCCTCCATGACGGGGCGACGCCTGCAACTTGTGACTTGGCGCGCCCGCGGTGCCTGCGCCGAGTCACGCACCCCGGGCTCCGAGCGCGGGCGGGGGCGGAACGGAGCGGTAGCTGACTACCTACCAGACCACCCCAACCCAACCCGAAGACCCGAATTTCGGGTTGGGGGGGGTACGGGTTCCATACGTGTTTTCTCAAGGTTCCCCGACCCCCCCCCCCCACTGGAAATGGAGGGCAAATTGAGACCTTCGGGTTGGGTTGGGGTGGTTTGGTGGGTGGTGAGTAGCTGGACCACGTGTCCTCGGCGCGACACCGCTGGTCTTGCGGCAGCAGCCGCCTGGGCGCGGAAAGCATCGAAATCGGGGATGGAAAGACCTCCCTTTAGTAAAACGTGGTTTAGTGAAAACGACCTCGGGCCAAATCTGGCGGGCGCAAGCCTGGAAAATGACGGCCGCAGCGACCTCTCGAGAACCGAAAACGGACAACTCACTAATCGACGTGTCGGGGTAGGAGGTCTGTCCACCCCCAGCGAAAGCCGCGCTCAAAAGGTCGACTCTGCGACGTTGCACTGCAAAGCCCGCGGCAAGTGCAGGCCGCGGTGCCCAGACAAGGAGCTCCGTTGTCGTTTGTTTGTTGCTGACATTCGGTCACGGACGACGGAAATCAGGATTGATCGAGAATGGCCACGGATGGCATCGCCGTAGATGCGAGGATGATGGCGACGGCGGTGTCGGCGATGGCGACGAGGCAACACCCTCGCGGCCGCGATCACGATCACCTACATTGCACCCCGTCACGCGGATCGGCTCCTGGGAAGGTAGCCTTGCCTCGCCTGGATCACAGGATGGAGAAACACAGACGCCCAAAATGCGATGTGCAGCTGCTGGAGGCGCGCAGCCGACACGAACATATACTGCGCACAGGCTGTCGCAGATCGACTCCCGAGGCGTAATGGCTCGAAGGTGCCTGCCACGGAGCTTCTACGAAGGATTGCAAAAAAACCCGAAGGATTGCAAACAAAAAAGCCGAATGTTGTTTTTTTTTTTTTTTGCAATCCTTTGCAATCCTTCGTTTTTTTGCAATCCGAGGAGGCACGAGCGGGCGCGCCGCCCTTGCGGGGCCGACGCGTGCACGGCAGAAGTACGCTTCGGTGGTGCCGCCTGGAACCGCGGGGGCCCTTCGTCTGCCACCGTGCCCCCGGGGGCACGGAAGTGGGCGTGCCCGGAGGGTGCTCTGCCTCGTCCCTGGGGCCCCAGGCCTCCGTCCTGACGAACCTTTCCTTTACCCTCCTCCCCCTCCTCCTCCTCCTTCTCCTCCTCCTCCTCTTCCTCCTCATCCTCCTCCTCCTCATCCGCCTCCCCCTGCTCCGCCTCCTCCTACTCCTCCTCCTGACGTTCCACGAGGGCTAAAAAATGTAACGCCAGGGCCTGGGCGTCCCAGTGCTTGTCGAGGCTTCAGACATAGAGGTCTGGAGGGCTACTTTAGTAGTAGAAGGAATTGGTTTTCAAAACAATTGGTCTTTAGAAGCTCTGCGTGGCGACGCCCCCGTCGCCACGCGTGCCCTCTGCGTGCCTGCGGGGGCGCCGCCGCGTAGAAGCACTGGAGACCGAGCATTTGGGGCGCCGCCACGTAGAAATACTGGAGACCGACCATGTGTGAAAACCCCAAAACCAACTAAATTCAACCATAAAGTATGCTGTAGCACTCTGGGACATTCAGGGCCCCGTAGACCCGGACACGCTAGACCCGGACACCCAACATCCCTCGAAACCAATTTATCCCAACGGCGGCACGAACAAAATACTGCACTGCAACATTTCCAAAATAAACCCGGACACAAGCCTCAAAAGCCTGCAAGACCCCCCTAAACCCGGACACAATCCCGAATCCTGCAGTGCAGCAAACAAAGCATGCATGGGTGCTGAAAAACGTGACTTTGCAGGAAAGGATGTCGTTTCCTTGGTTTTCCGTGTCATGGTTGATCTGTGTCCTGGTCTCCGGGGGCCTGAGACATCAGCGCACAAAAAGCCTGGACCCCAATTTTTTCCGAAACATCTGCCGGGGCGTGCCGCGTGCCCGCTGGGCTCCCGCGCGGCTCGTCGCAGAGCTTTTTTTCTCCGGGCCCACAGGACGGCCCCACGACGGGCCCTGGCCATCGCTCGGACGTCCATTCACTGAGTTTTTTTCGGTTTCGTGCGTGGTTGTTTCGCCAAATGATCAAGGATGCTCCTCGATGGCCCTCGCCGAGGAAAAAACGCACACGTCCGAGCGATGCCAAGGGCCAAGATGGGGCCCACGAGGCCCCTTAAGACTGTCCAAGGGGGCCCCGAGTCACCGAAAGATCACTCCAAGACGCCGCAGATGGCCTCAAGAAGCCTCTGAGAGGCATCCAAGAGGCATCCCGAGAAGCAAAAAGGCCTCCAAGAAGCAAAAATCTCCAAGTGGCCTCCAAGAGACGGCCCAAGAGGCCTCCATGAGGCATCCCCAGAGGGCCCCAAGTGGCAAACATATGTGATTTTCCTTTTGGTGTTTGACAGATTAGCGCCCAAGACGACCAAGAAGAGCTCCAAGACGGCCCCAAAAGGGGC